AATGTCAGAACATCGTCAATTGGATTTGATATTTTAAAGGGATTTTAATTTTAAAATATAAAACGGTATATTTTTCTTGAAACAAGGGTATTTTACTATTTAATTGATGTTATTTTACATCTATTAAAGGGTTGAAAAAACATGTTTTTTTAACCCTGGAAATTTTGAATTTATGCCAATCCGACGTCAGATTGAATTAACCCGCCATCTAGAATTTTGCCAATCCGACGTCATCGTCAGATTTGCGATCACCCACCCAAAAAACTCACATATGCTGATTAGTGTCGACCATATTTAATCCGCAATTTTGAATTTTGCGAATCCGACGTCAGATTCATGATCAGCGACTCAAAAAAAAACCTATACCGGTTTTGGTTAAGATCCGTGCGATTTTCGAAAATCATGACTTGTGGTAGGTTTTTGAGGTTAGAAAAAATATGAGACATGCTAGCTCAATTCTGATGAGTGTTTTGAGTTTATCAGGCCCATTTACATTAGGTTAGAGCAGTAGTTCCCAAACTTATTTTTCTCGTGGGCCACTTTCAAAATTTTACTGGTTTCGGTGGACCCCCTGCTGCTACATTTCTACCACATTCTTAAAGTCGCCAAAAAATAAAAATTGTGTCACTTCTGAGTTCTGTCCCTATATTCCGATATGTAAAATAAAAACGAAAAATGGTACATTTTATATCACTTTATTTATTAAAAGAATAGAATTACAAGAAAAAATATTAAGGTAATATAGGTTCAGGTCATAATTTTAATTAATGGGAAGGATGTATCTGATGGAGTGTCAGCAAACGATCAATGTTTGGCTTTATTTTTGTGAGCAATAACCGCAAATCCCCCCGCTCTGTGATGTTTAATTTGCTCCTTTTTTTTTGTTAAGAGGTTTGTAACGCACTAAAACTCCTTTCGACAAGGTATGACGAGGGAAAAGCTATTAAAAATTTCCTTGCGATTTCCCACAGTCCAGGATATTTTTCGGGTATTTCTGCTTGCAGCCAAAATGTTGGGTAGCCTTTTCTAAATTTCACCTTCAGCTCCTCATTAGTGCTTAGCTCGAGCAGCTCCTCTTGTAATACAACATTGGCCACTTCCGTTTCATCAAATGGATTTATGATCCATGGTGGTATATCCATCGTCAGTATATCTTCAAACCTGGTTTTGAAGTCATCATGCAGAGCACTTAAATGTTGACTGTAGGTATGGATATCCTCATCAATACATTCTACCTGCGACAAGTTTGGAAATTGAGAGAATTCGCGCCGACTAATGTTTTGCTTCATAAATTTCAATTTCCCAAGAAAAGCCGAAATTATCCCCTTTGTTTTTATTAAATTCAGGCTGTCCCCTTGTAACTGCAAGTTAATATCATTAAATTTTTTAAACAAATCTGTCAAATACGCAATGTCTGCTTTGAATTTGATCAAGTTTTCTTTTAAATCTGGATCTCTACTTTCTAAGAACTCTAATATGGAATCGAAAACAGAGTAAAATCTCGTTAAGCATGCACCTTTCGACAACCAGCGTACTTCAGTATGTAAGAGCAGTCGTTGGAAGTCTTCATCATTTTCGTCGCACAATTGAGCAAATAAACGCGTATTCAATGCATTGCTTCTGATTTTGTTGACAGCTTTTATTACAAAATGAAGAGATTGGTTCAACCTGTCACTTAAATGTTTTGCCACAAGATGTTGTCGGTGGATTACGCAATGAATAGCTGTAAGTCCTGGTATAATTCTTTTGAGATGACTTATAAACCCACGATATCGCCCGACCATTGCAGGAGCTCCGTCTGTTGCCACTGAAATAATGTTTGTAAATGGGATCGATTTTTCCGTAAAAAAATTACTCAGGACATTAAATATTGATTCGCCTTTAGTGTCAGTCTCCAAAGTTCTGGCAAATAGCAATTCTTCGTGAATTTCTTCCTCAACAATAAATCGGACATATGCCAATAGTAATGCTTCATTACTGGGTAACGTTGACTCGTCCAGTTGTATAGAAAAATGAGTTTTTTGCAGATGATTGCACAAAAAGCTTTCGATATCAGAGCTCATTTCATCAATGCGTCTTTGTACAGTATTGTTACTTAATGGAATTCTTTTTAGTACGTCAAATGGAGATTTGTGCAAAACAGTTTTTAAAACCTCTTCAACAGCGGGTAAAATTAATTGTTCTCCGATAGTGTGCGGTTTTCCAGATTTTGCTATAAGTAATGAGATATTGTAAGATGCCCGCAAGCCATCATCGTTACTTTGAGATGTTGAAGCGAACATACTGTGCATGGTGGGTCTCTTTCCATATTTTTCTTTCAATGTTTGAAAATATTTTAAATCTTTACCTATTTTATCAGTATGACACCTTTTTAGATGATCTTCGAGCTTTGATGGTTTCATAGAGTCATTGCTCAAAACTTTGTTGCATAATAGGCACATGGGCAATTGTTTGTCTGCCTCTGATGGAACAAAACCATATTTCAAATAATCGATACTATATTGTCGACATTTTTTCTTTGCTGTAGCCATGTTTCGTGTCAGTTACCTTACCTGTAAAAAAAATGTTTTAGTAACCAAGTTTTTTTCTGAATATAGGTATCACACCGCAGCCTTTGTCAGCACGCGGAAATAGAATTACGGCTTGTAAAGGGACCAACTAATAAACCGCTGAGACAAATACAGACGTTTTCACAAAACGGTATCAATTTTAAAGTACATAATTTACCACTAATTTTTAATAGTATAAATAAAAATTGGTGTACTCAGTATCGAATACTGATCATATTTGTGTAGGAAAAAATAAAAAGTCGAAATCCCAAAATTGTCCATAAAAACGATAACTAACATTTTATTAAATCAATGAGTTCACGCGCTCCGTGTATTTGCGTATTTTTTGTCTGCGGCTTCATTGTTAAAACGTGACAAACTGGCATCGAAGTCCAAGCCCCGCCCTTTTCCCGTCGCCCGCGCACCGCTCGCTCTTTCCGAAAAGGAATAGTTTTGATAAAATAGTTACTTCAAAACCAATTTAAAATGATTATGAAATTACTGTTTTATAAAATTAGTAGTTATTTGCAAGAAAAATTACAAAATTAATTGCTCTGCAATATTGCTTATTCGGCCTTTTAGAGAGGCAGTGTTTCTCTCGTGAAAAAACAATTGAATAAAACGTGCTGTGTTTGTCTTCAAATCGAAAGAGGACAATTAAAATATCTGTAAGTTACTAAGTTACCTATCTATACAGGCCGTTGTGATCAACCGACTAGTACACGTAAACAAAATACTTAAGTACTATAACAAAAAAAAAGGTAGGTTACTTACTTTTCTCCGGCACTAGCAAACACAGATATAAATTTTCTCACAACTTTTTTTCCAAATTCCGCCTTTTTTCGAAATTCCGGAAACAAATGAATGCGTTTGCCTTTGGCATCAAGTATTTATAGTGGTGATCAAGTTCATGTCTGAACAAGCATTAAGCATTGTCGGGCGGATAGCGCTTTGCAAGTCTGTACACGAAATTGTACGTAATATCGAATACGCAAGTTTGGACAAGTAACAGTCGCTTGCCTTATTAAAATATTATCTGCTTAGATAGGTACTTAAAACAATGTAGGTAGGCCCTTATAAAAACTATGCTTACATTTTTGCTCTTTACTATCAAAAGCAGATAAATTTTCGTGGACCCCCATTAACATCTTATGGACCCCCATTTTTTGTTCACGCCTACGTAGACCCCCAGCAAGTCTCCCGTGGACCCCTGGGGGTCCACCTGCACCACTTTGGGAATCACTGGGTTAGAGTGTTATATATGAGCATTTTTTTCCTACTACATTTTCCTGAATTTTTACGGATTTTCACCAAATTTTTGAGGTTAGAAAAAAAAAGAGATGTGAGTGAGTCTAATTCTGATAGCGGATTCGTGATCAGCGTCGAAAACTACTATAGGATATGATGGTCTTGTAAAAAGCGTAGACCACTTTTTTTTGTGTGTTCATTAAATCGTCATTTACTATTGGAAAGTTCTTTAGGAAAATAAAGGGAAGGAGGTATCTTTTAATGCCTTGCTAAATCCAGATTTCCCGCGATATTATAAATAAATACTTTTAAGGTAGATTTCATGTTCCAAAAGCTGTAAATTTAGATTTTGTAGTTCCTTATAATTTTCAATGGAAGCTTTGTCAAATATCAGAGACACCTTGTATTTTATTTTATTATGAAAAAATATTAATTATCGTGACAATGTCTTGCTTCAATAAATATGAATATTGTATTTTGTTTTTGGAATTATCTTAATATCGATAATGAAAAAATCTATTAGTCATTGTGATTTTGCCGATATTTGTTTTATTTCAGATGTCAAGGTTTTTATTTGGTTAAATGAGAGAACACCCAAAGTGAATCGACTTAATACAGAAAATGTCAAAAGTGACAAACACTTCAACATATTTTTTTGAGGTTTTAAAACCATAGGGTTCAAATACAATATGACCGAAAAAAAAACACGACGTCAGCGATGGCTATGAAATGAAGATCCTGTCATTTTATCCGTCATTTTATATGTAAAATTACATGGGGAATGTCATCGATCCTCATTTCCAAGCCAACAGGACGCCGTTTTTTTTTTTCGATCATACGGTATAATATTATCAACATAGCAAGAGATATGAAGATATGAAGTATATTATTTCAAATAATTTTGAATGATCATTGAGAAGGCTCAAGGAAACAATAATTATATGTGGAGCAACGTTTCGCAACTTTATCGCTTCTTCAGGCACTAAACATTTAGTATGAAATTTAAAAAAAAATTAGGCGGATTTTTTGTTTACATCCCAAAATGAAACTTAGATATAACTTAGATAATTCAAATGTAAATTATTTTGTTTACTGATTTGTTACTATTAATATACTATATATTAATGAAGGAATTTTTAAATTTATTCGTGTGATTTATTTGATATTAATTGTTTTTATTGAAGTATTGTGTTTTTTTTTCAGGGACAACGTCAGCAACTTTATTAATTGGTGCAGATTTTCCTTGGAAATCATCGAGTGCCTTCTATTTGAATCGGATGACTTAATCATGCGTAAAAACGAGAAACACGTCATACTTTGTTTGCTGGAAGTTGCCAGGAGAGGTGCCAAGTAAGTCATTATTTAACAAGTTATTTCTACTCTGACTTATAATATGTACCATAAAACAATTAAAATTTTAAACATTTTTAACTATTCCTATCAATTGGACAGTGAAAATACTATGTAACTTTTTGAGTCTTAAATAAGTGTAAATACTTCTACCGGTGGTATATTTCTACCCCAGGAACACGTCAATGATTTTTCTATGGTTTTTGTTTTTCCCTCACATACTCTCTTTGTAGTTGGATACAGTGTTGTCTATTGTTGGCTATACGGGCCCAAGTTATCCCTGCTACTTTTTTAATATCATGGTCCCATCTCAGGTTCGGTCTTCTTCCAATTCCTCGTCGGTACCATGCTGTAATTTTTGAGGTTCACCTGTTGTCCTTCTTCTTGCCAGGTGTCCTACCCATTGTCATTTGAGGGACTTGACTCTGTGGATGACATCTATTACCTGGGTCTTCCGTCGTATCCACTCTATTCTTTTACGGTCCCTCCTAGTTATTCCCAGCATATTTCGCTCCATCGAGCATTGTGCGAACTGCAATTTCCTTATGATATCCATTTTAGGTAACCACCGTTCTATGTCTCGTTGTCTTCTTTTCTCTCACAAGAAATATTCGTCTATCGCCACAATGCCATGCCCATGCCTTAAATATTGTTAATGTTTGTCTTTCAAGTAACGTTCAGAAAAGAAAATGAAGAAATATTTTTCTACAAGAAATCTTTGGTGGAGGCGATAAACATGTTTAACTATTTTATATTTACTGTTTTCAAAAAAAAGTTTTGTTGAAAATGGTTTGTTTTATTTTTACAAGTTGTTTTTAGTATAAATATTTTTAAGAAAGTAAGAAAGATCATCAATCGCATGTCGTTGACATATTTTTTTGGTAAATTCTAGACATTTGGGCGAGGTTTCAAGAAATGGTTTGCCTGTGCCTCCTTTGGCTCCTTTTCTTCTCGTCCTTCTTCTCGTCCTCTATTTTTTGTTTTGGAAGTTGGCATTGGCAAACCTAGTTTTAGGTGTCCAGGTGTAGTACACATTGGTCGAATGTTTTCTTCTTTAGATAGAGTGACATTCTAAGATCTGAATATGATTGAGTTTCTTCCGTAAGTACTCCATGCTAACTTAATTCTTCTGTTGAGTTCTGGTAGTAGAGATCTCGAGCTGTGTTATAAGTTGTCCCAAATATACATTCTACTATTTCCAGTGTTGTGTTATTTAGTAGAATGTCTTTTCTTTCCACTAGTTCTTCTATATTTTTGGTAAATTCATTTTGAGACCCACTTTATTGCTAATTGTGTTTATATAGTTCATTAATCTGTGCTTGTAGTTCTTAAGTACTATTGGCAATTGGGACTATGGCATCAACGAATTTTAGATAGTTAAGATATTCTCCATCTATTTTTAATTCTTTGTTGACATTATATTGATTTAAGTCTTATACGAAAATGACTTACCTTGATAGAAAATTTTTAAAGTCAGACTTAAAATTTAAATAATTTCAACTTTATGTTGAAATTGATGTAAGATTCAAATCATTTTGATTTTAGAAACATCTAAAGACTAAATATTTTAAGTCTTTTTGAAACTGGCTTTTTGCACATCTGCTTATCCATACATATAGATGTTATGGCTGAGAAAATGTACTTACTTAATCTACTGCCCCATTAGTAGTCTCTTTGATATTGTATAAATACACTTATTCCACTTTTATGTGGTGTAAAAAACGAATTATTTTGTTTAGATTTGGTATGTTGGCGCCCATGCTGGTCCAGATGGAACGACAAATCGATCGGGAGATCGCGGCGGACCAGAAGAAATTGGGCTTCAACGATGGAAACGAAAACAATAACGATCTGGATGACGACAGTGATAGTGAGTTTGAAGAAGAAGAACCGGTGATGATGTACGGACCAGTACCACAAATAGTTACTAACGATCTGAAGAGTTTAGACGAAATGGTAAGTTACTTTTTATAAAGTCAGATTTTTATAGCTACGCCAATAGATTTCTATAATGCGTCATTTTGTTTTTATAGTTGACGGTTTCGTTTTACATTTCTGATCTATTTTAAAGTTTTGTGTAATTTAAAACCAAAACATTTCTGTACCTTAGTATCATGCCGTGTCCAGACCTAGAGGCGCCTCATGCATTCAGTTTTTAGTACAACCTGACTGTGCATGTTAGTTTAACCAAATTAAAACTGTATAGTCCGGTTGAGCAACCAAAATCCGTGTGTTTTAATGTGATTCTAGATAATTTTTAAGGTAAAAAATGTATATACCTATGTGGCGGATTCATCTATCCAAAAAAATCCTTTATGGATATTTCGCCACTGCACTGCAAGAAAAATCTACAAAATAAAATAGTTATTTTTTGTAAACACTTCTGCGTTAAACCTAAACGGACGCTGCTTGTCAGAAGTTGTGTTTACAGTAATAAAAATTTGCCTAACAAAGAAAAAAATTCTTAACGTTTTGGAAAGTTTTCTCTTTCCGTCGTCGGAAGCAAAGAAATATAAAGAATCAAGAAAAAAACTATTTAAAATATTTAAATTGAACTATTCGAGACAGTGTTCCCAACTCTCAAAAATTTATCTCCCAAAAAATCTAAACACTCGCATCAAAAATCCCCAAAATATCCCGAAAAAACCCTAAAATATAAATAATAATAAATAAACAATTTGTTGTGTTTTAAGTGGTTGACCTTGAAACGTCTGATCACAGCAATGTAGCCAACTGTTCGAAACTTTCCATTAAAGCAATATCAAACCTTAAATCCAAACAACTAAAATCCCCACAACTGTTCTCCAAGATTCGGTGATTAAAATAAATAAATTATTTTGTTTTATTGATACTTTCCTATTAATTTTCAAAAATAGCAGTAGCGGTCTTATCGCCTCTTTGGTAGCGGTAAAATTCCATTGAAATTTTATCCCTAGATGTAGAATGTAGAATGTTTAGAAGGGGAGTTAATCACCGCGACCTTACAGATCTATTGTGTGTTCCCCTTTCTTGAGTTATAACGAGTTATAACTCATCATACAGTCTCAGGGCTTTGAGAAAAGCCAGTATCTGAGACGGCTCCACAGAGAGCCAGCTCTCCATCCTCGACATCAGACGTGCCAAAGTTCATGGCACGAATGGTCGTCGTCTCGGCGCACTCAGTGATAAGGTGTTCTGGTGTTTCCCCATTCCCCACAAAATCTGCATTCGCCGTTGTTTCTCAGTTTCAGCCTACTGAGGTGTTCGTTGAGGAGACAGTGTCCTGTTAGAAACCCCGTGACAATTCGAAAATTGGTTTTACTTAAATCAAGGAAAACCTGTGATTTTTCTCGGTCATAAGTTCTAAGGAACTTTTTCGAGTTTCTTAGACCGTTGGAGGACACCCATTCCAAGTTACGGATGGAGTCTTCTAGATTCTTCAGTTCCGCTTTCAGTTGGTTCCCGTTTGGAAAACAGAACGGTTCTGGTCCAGTTAGTGGAGTGTTCGCTCCTTTTCTAGCTAGATAATTGATTTTTCATTGCCTTCCATCCCTTGGTGAGCAGGCACCCAGAGTAGGAGGACTTTATTTTCTTTGCCTAATTTGTTGAGCTTCTCTAGGCATTCTTTGACCAACTTCGAATTGATGGTTACTGAGTTGATCGAGTTAAGTGCTGCTTGACTATCGGATAGGATGGCAATTTCCTGTTTTCGAGAGTTCCTATCTAAGATAAAATGTACGCATCTTTCGATAGCGCAAATTTCTGCCTGAAGGATACTGGGGTAGGTGCCCATTGGTTCGGAGTATTCAGTTTTCGGCCCAAATACTCCTATCCCTGTCCCTGCTTTGGTTTTGGAAGCATCAGTATACCACGTGATGGTATGGTCTTTTATATGCTGAGTAAGCGTTTCTTTCTTCCAATCCTTTTTATTACTCAAACTACAGTGAGGTGTTTCTCAAAGTTGTAAATTCTTGGTATGTCATCCACTGGGAGTTGGAGAAGTGGAATTTTCTTTTTGAGGGTGTTCCAAGCCCCTGACCTGAAAATTCTCCCAGTACTGTTTCCGTCAATGACCATTCTAATCATTGTCGCATTGACATAACTACCGACGACAATATGCAGTGGGGTTAGGTCTAGAATGACCTCCATTGCTGCTGTTGGACATGTTCTCATGGCACCTGTGATGCAGATACATGCCAGTCTCTTTACTTTGCACAGGTTTTGCCTTGCTGTACGTTGCTCTAGTTTTGTATACCAAGCAACTGCTCCATAAGTAATCATGGGTCTTACTATCATGGTAATACAACCAGCGCAAAATGTTAGGGGCGCAGCCCCACCTATTTCCCCCCAGTCTTCTGCATATCAGAGAGTCTTTGTGGCTTTGCTAGTAATGTTCTTAATATGCCTGTTCCAGAGAAGTTTACTATCCAGGGTTATTCCCAGATATTTCACTTCCAGCGATGGCAGTATTTCCTTTCCATCTAGATACATTCTTTTCAAGTTTTTCAAACTTCGCTTTCTGGTGAATGGCACTACTGCTGTTTTATCTGAGTTAATACTCAGCCCGACAGTCCTGCACCATCTCTCAGCGATGCGGAGTCCTCTTTGGATAATATCACACAGGGTGCCTTCATGTTTCCCCCGTGCAATGATGACTATGTCATCTGCATACCATATGCAGTGTATTCCCGCTAGAGTTAATTCTTCCATTAGTTCATCCACTACCAAGCTCCACAGTAGGGGGGAGGTCACTCCACCTTGTGGAGTTCCTTGCGTTGTTTTAACAACTACAGTTTTGGTACAACTGCTGTCGTGTTGAGAGCATTTCCCAAAACCAGCGAATTATCGTATTGTTCACCCCTCTTGTTTCAAGAGATCGCTTGACCACCTTGTGAGGTATATTGTCAAACGCCCCTGCAATGTCCAAGAAGGCACAAAGTGCTGTTTCTTTGCTATCCAGGCTTGCCTGTATTAGTTCAGTTAACTGGTACAGAGCAGTTTCTGTGTATCTGCCCGCTCTATATGCATGCTGACTATCGTGCAGTGGTTTAGATGATTTACTCTAATATGGTTGTCCACTACTTTCTCCATCGTTTTTAATATGAACGATGTGAGACTAATAGGCCTAAATGATTTGGGGTTAGCCCAGTCAGGTTTGCCTATTTTGGGTATGAATATTACTTTCGCTCTTCTACAGATGGTTGGTATATATCCCATAGCTAAGCTGCTTCTTGTAATGTTTAATAGATGGTGTGTAGCTATTTCCTCACCCTTCTTTAGAAGGGCAGGAAAAATCCCATCTATTCCTGCTGTTTTATAAGGCTGAAAGGTGTCAATAGCCCATTTCAGTTTTTGTTCTGTTATTACTAGCTTCGCCATCTCCCAGTCTTCCCTGTGAGGATTGTGGGGTTCGTCGGAGCTACTTGCGTATCAATAGATATGCTACCTGGAAAGTGTGTATAAAGTAGGAGGTTAGCTCTCTCTTCACCTCCTTCCGTGTAGCTTCCGTCAGGTTTCTTAAGTGCCATGTTGGGGATGGGCCCACTCTTGGCCATAGCTTTGTGTAGCCTAGCTGCATAAGTAGTTGAAGTGATGTTTTCGCAAAAGCATCTGAAGTCAGACCGCTTTGCCCTTCTAATCTTCTTATTATACTCAGTTAATTTCTCGGCGTAGAGCTGCCATTCGCCGCTGGGTTTGGCTCTGTTGAAGAGTCGTCGAACCTCCGATCTAAGATTGTCTAGCTTTTTGTTCCACCAGGGATTGTTGTTACTTTTTTGTATGCCCTTACTTGTGGGGCAACTAGATTCATATGCATCCAATATTGCACCACTGACTTCCTTTGCGTACCATTCTAGATACAGGTGGTTCCTAGCCCTACCTGCATCTATTTGGTCCAGGTTGTCTACGAGCTTGGTGTGGTATAGTTCCCAATCGGTTTTTCTTGGATTCCTTCGAATTTCAGTTTGGAGTATGATTCCTCCTAATTTGAACTCGATGATTCTGTGATCTGATAGGGAAGGTTCCGTTGAAACCCTCCAATCTTTCACGTAACTAGTTACACTAGCACTCCCGATTGTTAAATTTAATACTTCCGCCCGCGTTTTTGTCACAAACGTGGGGGTGTTCCCTATATTGAGAACTTCAACATTGTATGCTAAGAGGAATTCTAGTAAACACTCACCTCTAGTGTTAGTATTAGTGCTTCCCCATACCTCATTGTGCGTATTGGAGTCACATCCCAATAGCAGAGGTAGTCGCCGTTGGCTGCAGAATCGCACGAGCTCCTCTATTTCCGGAGGCGGTGTCTGCCCATCACCCGGAAAGTATGCAGAGGCAATCACGATATTTTTGCTACAACCCTCGATATTAGTTGAACCATGATTGGAACAAGATCTCGGGTTGTAAATTCTGAAACACATGTGTAGTTAATGTTGTTTCTTATAAGAATACAGGCTCGGGGAAATTCCTGCCTGTTATCATATATTACACTGGAATTTTTTCCAGACAAACCTTTAATTTGTCCCTGGTACACCCAGGGTTCCTGGGCTAGTACCATTACATATTGGTTTTTCTCAAAGAGTCTTGTGATTGTGGCGGAAGACTCTTTTGCATAGTGCAGGTTTATTTGGGATATCCCATGCATCAGGTTTCTGGGGTAGGTAAGGATCCCCTTGTTGTAGGGAGGACAGGGTATTTCCCATCCCCCCCTGGCAACAGATGTTCCTCCTCCGAGGAGTGGTCATCAACCTCCTCCGAGGATATACACCCTTTCACGGCTGGAGTTACGCCAACCGTGTCCTTCACAGTCGAGGAGCTTGTCTCCGGGTGAGGTACTTTAATAATAATTTTATCCCTAAAAATATCCCCAAAAAATTTTACTCCCTAAAAAAATCCCCATATAGATTTTTTCTCCCCAAATTTAGGGATAAAATCCCGGAGTTGGTAACACTGATTCGAGAACGCTTTACTTTTTAAAA